AAGCATTAGTAGGCTATCCACAGCCACTGCAGCACAAGTTCAATCCCCAGCTAGGGAGGTGACCCACATGGCATGGCTGACCTCTCCTGACCTGCCTGCTGCTCCCCTCAACAGTGTATTCCAGTACATCTGCCTATTCTGCTCCCCACTCTGTCTCTGATGAATCCTCTCACCCCCTGCACCTCTGGCCTATACCCCAGTTCTTATATGCATAAATAAATAAATCTTTTTAAAAAAATGTATATAGCAGGGCCACCCTGGTGGTGCAATGGGTTGTCTCTGGTGGTACATCGAGTTAAGTCTCTAGTCAGCACTATGAAGCTATCAGCAGTCACTGTAGCATGAATTGGATCCACCACCTCAGGGAGCTGACCCACATGGTATAGTAGACTCTCCTGTCCTGCCTGCTGCTCCCCTCAGCAGTGTATTTCAGTCAATCTGCCTGTTCTGTTCCCTACTCTGTCTTAGTAAATCCTCTCACACCCCTCCTCCCACCACTTCTGGCCTAAACACGAGCTCTGGTATGCATAAATTAAGTAAAATAAATCTTAAAAAAATATATATTACAGACCAGAGTAAGGATGGGATCAAGTCTTTTGATTATATTTGCCTTTATATTACTTGACTTATATGACCGTAATTACCTATATCAAGATGTACTAAGTAATAACCAAAAGAAAACCCCCTATATACTTCAAGTTTCATAAGGGTTTCCTTATTATGAAAACTAATCAACTCCATTTTGATCCACCATTCATATAACCATATTCATCAACGTATCATTTTACATGTAAAATAGTAAGACTTCATATAACAAAACTTGCACAAGATTGACACTCATGCAATATGTAACTTCTTTTACAAGTATTTCCAGTACATCCAAAATTTGCTCACTAAACTAGTCATATGTCCTACTTTGTTACTGTAGTGATATTTTATAAAATCAACTCTTTTCTACCTTGAACAAGTTCCCTAAAGTTTTCAAAAAATTCATTCCCATGGAAAATAAATGAGCATTTCAAAAATAACACAGTATGTTAAGTGGAAGTTTCCCAAAATGATAAATTTACTATAGAAAACATAGTTTTAAACTTTTCAGTACCGTCTCTTAAACTTAGCTCTTTCCAGGTTCTGAGTATAAGCTTCAGATACTATTAAAGCAGTGACTCACCTTGTTTACCTGAAGTTAAAATACAAAGCATTAGTGGCAAAATTGCCATCCTTGATAAGAGGGGCCTCTAGAGCAGTGATTTCTCAACCAAGGGTGATTTTGTTCCCTGGAGACATTTTTGCCTGTCATAACTGGATAGGCTCTACTAGCATTTAATGCATAAATGCCAGGAATGCTTACAAATGCATTAGACAGTCCCCCCCAACAAAGAATTATCTGTCAATAAGTTGCTGATGAAAACTCTTGCTCTCAATTAGAGTTACTTATGAGTAACCCTGAAGGAAATTATCTATTCTCCATTAGAAAATTGGAATAGGGTATTTCTTCTATAAGGTCTGTATTTTTAACTATAAAAATAATTTTCAGGGACCTCCCTGGTAGTGATTAAATAACAGCACTATGAGGTTATCCACAGTCACTGAAGCATGAGTTCAATCCCCAGCCAGAGAGGTGATCCACATAGCGAAGCAGACCTCTTCTGTCTTGCCCACTGGTCCCTCAAAAGTATATTTCAGACAATCTGTCTGTTCTGCTCCCTGCTCTATCCCTGGTGAATCCTCTTATCCCCCGCACCTCTGGCCTATAACCCAACTCTTCTATGCATAAATAAATAAAATATATATTTTTTTTAAATAATTTTTTTCCAAAGAAAAAAATTTCCTACAAAGTTTTTGCTGTAACTTGCCATACATAGCTGTATACAATTTCAGTGTATTTTTCCTACATTTAAATAAGGCACTAGCTTCAAGGGAAGAAAAAATACAACGCAGTATGACAAAGTTATGTTTTCTAATTGGATGTTCTTTAAAGTGTGTACATACAAACATACATATACATATATGAGCTTATATATATAGGTCTGGAAATTTTACTAGAAAAATTTTAATATTGGCTACATCTTAAAAGAGTATGACGTGAAGTAGAGATGAGGACAATTTTTGGTTTTGACCTTATTTCTACTAGCTACACTGCCTAATTTTTCACATTTCTAATTATCAGAGGAAAATGTCAGGTATGTACATAACATATTCATAAATTCTTATGACAAGAAAACCTAAAAGTCATTAACCTCAGCAAAGTTCTTTCTTTAGGAGTTTTTCTTTTTCTTTTACTTTTTTTTATAATAAAAGACTATGAATCTAAAACCAATTCTCAAAATTGGATTTTATACAATTTTCAATCTGAACTCTAGTCTAACAATGGGTACATTTCAATAGGTTCCAATGCAAGTTTGATTCTTCTGTTCAAGGCCTTGAACAGCTAAGGATCATGCTCAACATGCCTGAAAAAAAAATTACAAAACAAGTATTTACCACAATGTTTAAAACACGAACAAAAGAATCAAACGGTAGCATTCCTTAACCTAGCAGTTCTAATATCAAATATATATATATATAAAAAGACCCTAGTGTCCCTTCCTCAAATTTAAAGATCTTTTGATTCAGCAAAGGTAAACAGTTTTTTTTTTTCACTCAGTTGTTGGCTCTGATAAGGAGAGGTCATTAGACTATCTACACCTGTGTGCCAAATGTATAGGACTTCCAACTAATTCTAGAGCAAATATACTAGGCCTCCACAGTTTTTACTCATTTCTCACCTAAGTCCTCTCCCATGTAGGGAACAAGACGAACTTCACTCAAACTAAAATCCAGCTTATTGTCTTTCTGGAATTCCAGATTCTAAAAACTCAGTTCTAAAACACCTTGGAAAGATGAAAATAAAGATACTTAGTATTAGTCATCAGATGCCACTTGAGTGAGTGTTTTCTATGGAACATTATGTATATAGTCTTTTGACATTGGAAATTCAAAGCAAATAATATAGGAGATGGTAGCTCATCCTGTCAGAAAAAAGGCTACAAATTTGCTTGGGAAAATAAGTTATTTCACTCAGAAAGGCATAGATTGTACATTAACATATATCTTACACAACAAAGACTAGATACCCTAGGAATTAATTCTCCATGTGATATGGGAGAAAGAGAACATAAAAACAAAATTTCCAGGCCCTCCCTGTTGGCACAACGGGTTAAAGCACAACAGGTTAAAGCACAACACTATGAAGCTATCGCAGTCACTGAAGCACCAGTTCGATCCCTGGTGACCCACATGGCACAGCAGACCTCTCCAGAACCACCTGCTTCTCCCCTCAGCAGTGTATTTCAGTCAGTTTGCCTGTTCTGCCCCCCACTTTGTCTATGGTGAATCTTCTCACCCCCCTGCACTTCTGACTGTACCCCAGTTCTTGTATGCATAAATAAATCTTAAAAAAAGATTACTTCAAAAACTCATGACCCAAAGAATTAGATTTATGATTGTAGTCTCTCTAACAGTCAATCTCTGAAGAAAGTTAAGAATATGACTTATGTAAAAGAATTGACCTCTGATCTCATTTATGAGAATTATGTAAAAAATAGTCCAGAAAAATCAAGACATCTTTATATCACATTTAAGTCAAAGCAAACCTTTTCAGTCTCTTACAAATTTCACAGAAAAATACTCTCATCTCTGTATATGTATTCTAAGTTCATCTTTCATCACTTTCCATCGAAAGTATAAAAGAAAATCTTCATAAACCCAACAGTGGTGGTGTTTCACAGACTCTCCCATCACTGCCTACTCTGTAACATCCTGTCCCACCTTGGCTAGAAGTAATTTCTCTTATACTGAAACTCAATATACAGACACTTAAGGGACTATCTCTCTTACTCCCCACACACTTATTTCCAAAGCAAGATGGCTGGGTGAGAAATAGACTATGGTCTTAAATCTAAAGGAAGCCCTGTTCAGACCTAGAATATAAGACAATGCAATTTCTCTTTATTTCTCTCAAATACAAAATAATTGTACACAAAGAAAAACACCAATATTTTACCACCATCAGAGTTATAAGGGATGAACCACACGTCTTAGAACCAAAATCAAAAACTGAGCACTTAGAACAACAGTTATCACGAGAGGGTACTATATCCAAGCCACAATGCAGACAAGTGAGTGTGAGAGTGTGTGTGTGTTTAGTATCCCTTCCCTACAGCCCAAAGATCATGCCTACCATCCTAAGTTGTTCAGTCCTAATGGTCCGACAAACGCTTAAGAGTGAAAAGAAACGGAAGACTCGAGTAACTAATTCCCCTCACTCCAAAAGGTGTCAGTGGGGTGCCTCACCTCCCAGCTGAAAGGGGAGGGGGAAAAAAACGCCAGAATTCAGCTATCCAGTCCTTATTATGAAGCTCAAAAATGCACTGGAACTTTCTTTTCCTAACTTCACAAAAGGTCCCAGGTGCAAGACTCACGTGATTTCCAGGGTAAAGCAGAGAGCTCATTAATACTCACCTGACTCGAACTAACGCGAGGCATCGAGAACCCTTCATCCATACACAGGATGGTACAAATGCCAACCGCTCAACTTTGGGGAGAGGCACACAGTGGGGATCCTCCCCCCCACTCCGCGCCCCCACCCCCGTCTCTCTCAGTACCAAGGGCAGGGACTCAGGCAAGACCCCGCCTCCGCCCCCCCACCCCGCCCCAATCGCCAAAGCGGGGTGGGCGGGAGGTAGCCAGTCTCCCAGTTCCCGCGCGAAGCTCAGAGGCCAAAGGACTCCCTATTGTGGATCTACTGAAGGTGCCGGGAACCGGTTCGGCTCGAGCCGCGGGGCTGAAGAGCAAGCTGAGGGCGCACTAGGCCCGCACCCCTGTCCCTGCCGCCATGCAGCCGACCGCTGTCAGAGAACGACTCCGCCCGAGCAGCCTGAAGGTGGCCCGGGCCCTGTGCCGGCTCGGGAGAATTCACGCCGCACGCTGTGTGGAAGACTGGGGTCCCGAAGCCGTACCTCAGACACCTCGTCCTCGTCGCTGCCAGAAGCGCCACCTCCACCCCCGGTCCTCAGCACGGCGGCCGCCAACTTGAAATCCAGAGCCGCGTCCCCTCCGCCCGCTCCGCTGCCGCCGCCACCGACTCCCGGCGCGGGCCCGGCCTCCCCAAAGAGTCTCACAGTGCGGATCCCTAGTCCGACCCCTCCCGGCGGAGGCGGCTCCGAGGCCCCGGCCGGGGCGGATCGCGGAGCCACTGAGTCCAGGTCCTCCTCAAAGGAGGTGCCGCCGCCTCCGCCGTCGGTCAGCATGGTTCGCACGCGGAGCCGGAGACGCTGCCGAGTCACTCGCGGCCCCCGCCGCCGATCCCGGGAACGAGAGGAGCAGCAGGAGGAAGAAGCGTCTCCTTCCCCCCGTCCCAGCAGCGCCACCAACTTCTCACTGCCTAACCTGCTGACTCCCGCCCCTCGCACTCGTCACTGGCTGAAGCCTCCCAGCCGCTGCAGATCATTGGCCAAGGGACGCCGTCGCTCAGGCTCTTCGTCACGCGCAGCGCTCTGGCTCGCGGCCCCCAAGCTGCGTTGACCCGCGCAGACCTAGGCGGTTGCGAACACCCGCCCCCTACTCCCCACGCGCCGATTTCCGGTCTTTTTCTGTGTCTATTGGTCAACCTCTATGACTGTCGCGTCACGACCTTAAAGTCGATTAGTTGGCCTTATGGTCAGTCATAGTGACCCTTGATAATGGGAGACTTCATTGGCGGCATAAAGTGTCGGTCATTGTGTCACAGGACGTCGCGCGATACAATTGGCCGCTGAGAACCCATTCATCCCACCCCCATCTGAGGTGACGGGAAAGGGTTGGGGAATTTCCACTTCTGATTAATATGATGGCTGAGGTGACGACCTGCAAGATTTGGTGACATTGGCAGCAAAATTCACCCAGCTCTCGGTGGGGCTTACACTTCACGAATGCGAGAGGGGCGGAGGTAGCGCGTCTCCCACCTGTCGCTCCGCTGCCCGCCGAGACTACGGACGGAGAGTTGCTGCGCGCGGATTGGAGGGAAGAAGCCATCCGTCTCGGCGAGGCGCCGCCTTCCTGCCAGGGCCGGGTTGGAGGAGCGCAGCGTCAGTCTGGAGCGGTCGCCGCCTCTGGGACAGGTGAGGCTGCGGAAGCTCTTTGCCTTCTGCTCTTTGGGCGGGAGTAGGGGGCCGGAGAGGCGAAGGCCGGGCCCTTTCTTGCAGCTCCCCTCCCGCCTTCCCCGGCGGAGCCCACCAGCCAGAGATGAGGGGATGGGCGGGCCGGGAGATCGCTGCTGGAGAGGGTTGCTGGGGGGCAAGTGGGCCCGCCAGCGCGCCAGCACCGGGCCAGGCGCGGCTTTTCTACAACCTGCGGGCGGATCGCCCCGCGGGGCCGCGTTCTCTTGCTTGTGGAAGGCGGCGGGCCGAGGGCTGGACAGCGCCAGGCCTCAGTACCGGGAACTGTCCCACGAAGGGGATGTGGGGGGGCGGGGGCGCGAACTGCGCGCGCAGCCGGGCGGCGGGCTGGACGCCGTGGTTACGCGAGCGCGCTCTGGAGCACTTTGAGCTTCTGAGGCCACCGCGTATTTGTTATGTGTCCTCTGAGCGTTTATTGTTTAATCTCTGCGACTTTAAGTTTGTTCATCTGTGGAATGGGGGTAGTAGTAGTACCTCCCGGTTGTATTGTGGTTTTGAATAAATCAGACAATAAGGCTTTTAGCCAAACGTAAAGACTAGTTTTTGTTCATCTTTATTCTGCGTCTTCCCAAACCAAACTAATTGTTGCCAGGTCTCTGTAATGGCAAGCGAAGCTAGCTAAGAAGGTCTTCCCTCGGTAAGGATCTCTACCTCTATTATCTCTTTCTCCTTTGTCAACAAAGAGGGGTTTAGAATCCTCGTGCTCCAACTAATCCAATGATTACAAACCACCACAAAGGCATTTTGCTGAGGTTTGTATGGCAAATGGCCTTTGACCCAGAGGCTGGCCATAAGAGTTTTAGCCAACAACGTTTGGCAAAAAGAAGACGAAGAAGGAAAAAAGAATTGGCGTTGTCTGCTCTCTTGCAATGTTAACAAAGGGCTCTGTAGGTCTTGATTGTGCAATATTTACTATTTCACCTCTCTTGAACTGCATTCTGAAAATTCTATAAAGAATATAATGATTTTTTATTGACTTTAAAAATGAGTTCTTACAGGACATTTTGAAAGTTGCAAACATTTCTTTAGCGTAGTAATTGCGCATTTTGACATTTCACAAGCAAAGAGGGACAATGTTTTCTATGATCAGAACATACTTGCCAATGTTCTTTCTAGTTGTAGAAAACTGATCGGGGAGGGAGTCTGTCTCTCTCTCTCGGCTAGAAAACAGTTTTGATGTCAATGCCATAGACACTAACTTAGGATTTGTGGAACTTATTTTGTTGCTGTCCTCTCTACTGCTTAAGTTTTCAAGACATGTGTGACTAGGTCACAACCCAAGCTAATAGCACCAACAAAAGCAACCCAGCACTGCCCAACCCACTTCAAAGCTGGATTATCCAGAATTGGTATGGATACATCCTTAGGCAAAAACAGGTATTGACTGGTGCAACATTACAAAGGAACTACTTCTCATTCCTACCACAAATACAAAATTAATTTCTGATGCAACTCCCTGAACAAACTCATTAAATTCTTTAAACAGATTTATGTAACTGAAGGACAGAGAAAGGAAGTTAGGGTAGCTACATTTCCCCCAAAATATTTAAGAGCAAACAATATACTCTCTGCGACAGATCCTGAAAATAACCAGGAGAATATGATTGAGCAATAATCTTAGTTTCACACATACACATCCCTTCTTATAAGTAAGCTATATTATGAGGTTTCTAAATGACCTTCCAGAGATTTTTATATAGATACAGAAGCAATTTCATACATGTAACTTATTTTCCCCTTTTAATACAAATGACAGCATATAGTACACACTTCTGTATCTTGCTTTTTTTTTTAGCTAATTTATTCTAGAGATATTCCATGTCAGTGTACGAAAAGTTCCATCATCCTTGCTTACTACTTAATAGTATTCTGTTGACCAAATGTAACATAACTTATTTAACCCAGCTCTGTGTTAGACATTATATTTTTTTCCTTTTTAAAAAAAATATGTTAACAAACTGCTATAGATTTTTAACTTTCCAGATCAGTCTTTAAACGTTTATTAGTTTAATTGAAAATTATAAAATTGCAGGCACTTGATGGCGATCACTTTTTGAGCTAGTGTTTTAAATTTATTTGTACATACATAAAGAACTGGGGTACAGACCAGAGGTTGGAAGGGGGGTGAGAGGGTTCACCAGAGACAGAGCAGAGAGCAGAACAGACAGATCCATGAAGTATATTGCTGAGGGGGGCTGTAGGCAGGTCAGAAGAGGTCTACACGCCATGTGTGCCACTCCCCTGGCTGGGGATGGAACTTGTGCTGCAGGGGCTTCAGCAAGCTTCATAGTGCTGGGCTTTAACCTGTTGTGCCACCAGGGAAGGCCCTATTTGAGCTATTGTTGGAATATATTTGCAAGATGTTTAGCAAAACCTAGGAAGTGGACTTATTTTAAAAACAGGGAGCTGCAGATATGCAGTCTAAGAAAAAGAAACCAAATTATTCAGAAAGTTTCTTAGCATTTTGCTGAGGGTGAGCCCACCTATTGCTGAAAAGGGGCAAAATATACATTAAAAAGTGGCTGTTTGTACACTAGAAGTTTAATTCTTGCTAAATGCTCAATGGGGCAAGGCAATGATTTTGCTCTTTCGATTATACACTTTTAGTGCTGGGAATAGTTTGTTTTTCAAACTTCTAAAAATAAGGGGTATGTAAATGCCTTTTGTGGTAACACTCAGCTTATCAACAAAAGAAGAGGAGCCAATATCCACTTTCTTCCTTCAGTTGTTCTCAGGATCCTTAACCATGAATTGTTGGATAAAAATCAACACGTAAAAGACACTACGCATTAGGGTTATTGAAAGGAAAAAAGATTTGGGGGGATGGTCTCCAAGCTGAAAATCAGAAATAAAATGTCTACTTCTGTCTACTGTTGTGCTTTTAAGCCTAGAAAATTGGCCATTTGAGGGCTTTCCTGGTGGTACAGGGGTTAAAGTCTCAGCACTAGGAAGCTATCAACAGCCACTGCAACACCAGTTCATTGCCCTGCCAGGGAGCAAACACACGAGGCTCAGTAGACCTCTCCTTGTCTTGCCTGCTACTCCCCTCAGCATTATATTTCAGTCAATACTCCCCAAGCCCTGTCACCTCCCACACTTCTGGCACAGATCCCAGTTCTTATACACATAAATAAATAAAATAAATCTTTAAAAAATTATGAGGATGGGGGTGGAGTGGGAAATGGGATCAAAAATGGGGCGGGAGGGGGAAGGGAAGTGCACCGAACTATGGTGATGGCACATGGGTGACTCTGTGATGGGAAACCCACCGGGATTACAATTGAGATGAAAAAAAAGTACAAAATGATGTAAAAATAAACCATTACATTATAAAAAAAAATTATGAAGATGATTAGAATTGTTTGTCTAGGTTGCATTACGTAAATTAGGTTGAAACAAGTTGATACTGGATTCTAAAAAGCAAGTGTGCAAGTATACATTTGTAGAGGTTTGAACCTATAATCTCTAAGAGGTAAGCCTTTACCTCAACAAACATGATCTAGAGGAAAAGAAGGAAGGGAAGGAGGGAGGGAGGGAGAGAAGGGGAAGGGAAAGCAGTCTTCTGTTGCTCTTGGTCCAGATGTGAGGCAATAAAGGCCTGGGTTAGGGAGATGGCTATCAAAATACAGAAAAAGAGCTGTCAGCACAAAGAACCAGCATGACTTGGTGCCTGATTAAAGGTAGATAACAAAGGAGTATAGAAATAAATACAAATTTCTGATGAGAGGGCCTCCCAGGTGGTTCAGGGGTTAAGGACACAGCACTTTCTTATTTGCTTACTGTCACCAGCCACTGCAGGACAGAGTTCAATCCCCAGCCAGGAAACTGATCCACAAGGTACAGCAGACTTCTGCCTCTCTCCCTGACCCCCTCAGCAGTGTATTTCAGTGGATTTGCCTGTTCTGCTTCCCACTCTGGTGAATTCTCTCACCTCCCACACCTCTGGCCTACACCCCAGTTCTTGTATTCATTAATAAATCTTTTTTTTTTTAATTTTCTGAAAGAAATATAGAATTCTGTAGCCACAGCCTTTCTTTAATCTTTTATTTCCTGGGTCCTCCTGGTGCAGGGAGTTAGAGCACAGCACTATGAAGTGTTCTGAAGCTACGGCAGCACGGCAGCACAAGTTCCATCCCCAGCCAGAGAACTGACCTACATGACATGTAGACTCTCCTGTCCCACCCCCATTAGCAGTGTATTTCGGTTAATCCACCTCTTCCCCCTGTGTCTCTGGTGAAG